GGGGGATTAACCTCACAGCCATGGCAGAAACAGCATTAGCGTGTTGTCCTTGTCTGATGATAAGTGGTGGTAGCGCACAGCTGAGGGACTGCCCTCACCCAAGCCCATGGATAGGCTGAAAGAAGCTGGGGAGGGGGACCTTCATCCTTCACCTGCCTCTAGCCCTCCTCTGTGGTGAAACCTCTGAGGTGAAACCCACCCTTCCCTCACACTGATTGAGTCCATGGCCACCATCTCTCTCACAAGACACCATGCAGGCTCTTTTTATTTTGGTAGTTTAGCACAAAAAACACCGCAGTGAGTGTAGTAGCCTGTAGCCCATTGTTTTCCTGGAGGCTCATGGAAGATCCTGTGGCCTGCGAGCTGATGCCCACTCAATGACGAGCCCTCCACGTGGACTCAGGCAGCTTTTTGGGGCTGGGGGAGTTTGACTGAGCATTGAGTTGTTTAAGATATCCTTAGCTGCCTCGCCAGTCGCCTACTGACGGTGATGTTGCAGAAGATGCCAGCTGCTGCAATCTGCAAACAGTGCTAAATGCTAGAAAGAGGCAGCAGCCACCTTCCAAAAACTGTTTTCAAGTACATACGATCAAGAGAGTCACTTATCACAGCCAAAGCAGGTGCACACTTCTGCTCAACCCCCAGGAAGTCACAGTAAGGATTATCACCATGTAGACGTTTATAGAAAGATCATAAAACATAAGATGAAAAATAACTATTAAGTTGTCTAGTCTATCCACCCATCCATCCCTTATAAGTGCTAAGTGAATGATTTGCATGGGGAAGACCAAAGGTTTAAAGTGTGGGGGTTTTAACTAAAAACAGCAATAGAGGCATGAAAAAAGCACGCTGCCAGCAAACAATTCTTGCTTAGCTGCTGCAGTGAAGGGAAACAAGGCTACAAGTTACTTTCAGAGCTGTATATTTCCTTTTGGTTTAAAAACTACAGGGCAGTTTTCAGAGCATTAGAAACCTGTTCTGCCTGCAGATAGGGTTTTATGGTTTTCAAACACTGATTGAAAATGTAAGTGAAGATACGCAGTTGGTGTGACAATGCGCTTGGGGATGAGCAGCTCTGTGTTCCACGATGTCTTTGTAAACAAAGCGTTGCTGCCCCTGGGTTAACTGATTTCACAGAGGACACTCACTGACACTACTGCCAGGTTTCCCGGGAGGTTTCAGGACACGTTAAGACAAGGAAAAGCAGGTGCTCTTCTCGAAGCAGGACCACCGCTCGCATGGAGCAGTGCTGTGCGCTGCGCTTCAGCCTGTGGTGATGGGATGGGAAAGGGGGCAGAGGAGAAGAGCAGCAGCTCGGCAAACCTCTGCTTGGCTGATTTGTGTCCACAGACACCTACTTGTCCTACGTAGGACGTGTGGGTAGATGGTTGGACTCGATGATCCCAAGGGTCTCTTCCAACCTAGACAATTCTATGATTCTATTCTATGATTCTATGTGTGGTGATGCCCTCCAAGTTTATTTTGCATGCAGGTCCCTCTGCTCGATGCTCAGGGTCACGGGCTGTGTTGACGCTCTCCAGGTCTGGGATCGAACTCCCTGGGCGAGCGTGTCTGCGGGGAAGAGCTCACATCCCCTGGCACAAAAACTCATCCCAAAGGAGGCAGCACCCCACGGGCACCCCTTTCTGCAGATCCCCTCTGCTCTCCTGTGGGGCGCGTGGTGAATCCTCAAACCCCATGATTTCATGCACCGGGGAGGTTTAACTTCATATCATTTTCAAGCTGTTGCTTTTCCTGCAGAAATTTTATTTTGGCACACATCCTTGTGTTCGGTGGTTTTGCTTCGTAATGGCTCCTGTGGCCCATACCCCCGGAACCCTGATGGGGAGATTTAGCTCAATGCTCCGTTCGAGTGGTCTGTTCCAGATCTCATCTCTTCACATGAGACTTGGCAAACAGAGTTTCCTCTGTGAAATAAAGGATTCAGACTCTCACCGTGCAAGAGAGACCTCCTGAAGGACTCTTTCATGTGGAGCCTAAGAGACTAGAGAGGGTCAGAGTTTTAAAGACAAAATACTGCCGTCAGAAAGGTATACAGACTTCATACAGGAGGGACTCTTCACACGTTGGCAGCCTTTGAAGTCAGCTTTTAAATAAAAGATTTGTCATCAGACTGAAAAAGTGATGCTTTTTATGAGTAATAAAGCATAAAACAATTATATTTTTTTTCTGGCTGAAACTACTATTCAATATAAAATAAGCTGTCTCTTTTGATTTACTGAAAAACCAAACTCATTTTGCCTTGGGAAAACAACACATCATCCAGCTGACCGGTCTGCAGGTGCCTGGGAGGCGCGTGTGCCGGCGCTGCCGAGGCCGGGATTAGCTTTTATGTCACGGGCCAGTCTGAGGGAACGTGATTCCCTTCATGGGCTACAGCACTTACCAGAGACGATGGGACGGAAGCTGATGGTGAGTATCACTGGTGGGAATTAGGGGTTGTTAGGTTTTGTCTTGTAAGTATGTATTAAGCATTTGGCTTTTAACAAAGGTTTTTCATTGCTGGTATATGTAAACATAATTAGGTATATAAAGTTACATTTGAATGTTTGAATTTATTCTTGCATATGATACACCAATGTTTGAAAGTGAGCCATGTCCAACAGGAAGCCTCACGTATTTATTTCCAACCTGAGATGTGACCTGCTCCCCTTTGCGATCCTTGGGGTCTGCCTTTGGCACTCTCTGCTTGGCCGCTGGCAGGTCCGGCTCCCTGCAGGTGGCCACCAGGCAGCCCCGCAGGAGCAGCTGCCGGGGCCAGCTCAGCTTTGCCTCCTTGGAGGCTGCAGGAGTTATTTTCTTGTCTGGGGCTACTTGGGCTTTTGGATACAGCTAATAATTGTGGAAGATGCTTCCTCCGTGGGAAGGCACCAGCAGGGTAGAGCAGCTCCCAGGCTCCCCAGCGGTCTTCTCCTGCTCTCTTAAATACACAGGGATGACACATTCCCACCCATACCCCACCCACTGCAAGCCCTTAAAGACCAGACTTCCCTGAAATATGAAGCACTCCCCACTCCTGTAGTCTTCTCTTATTTTTTCTAGCAGTGTTAGACCCAGGAGGTTTTGGCGTCAATGCTGCTTATGATTAAAGTACACCACAGGCACATCCATCCATGCTGCAAGCATCGCTGACGCTGAAAGCCGTGCATGTCATGCTCAAGAAAAAACGATGCAAGAGCCTGACCAGACACGATGGCTTCAGAAGTCCTTGAGGCAGGAGCTGACGGCTGCAGCACCTCTGTCCAAGCTCGCAGAATGGTCAGGGTTGGAAGGGACCTCTGGAGATTATCTAGTCCAACCCCCCTGCCAGAGCAGGGTCACCTACAGCAGGTTGCACAGGACGGTGTCCAGGCAGGTTTTGAATGTCTCCAAAGTCAGAGACTCCACAAGCTCTCTGGGAAGCCTGTTCCAGTGCTCTGCCACCCTCAAAGCAAAGAAGTCCCTTCCTATGTTCAAGTTTCTGCCTGTTACCTCTTGTTCTATCGCTGAGGGAGCAGGCAGTACCCATCACACACGGGATCTGTGAAAGTAAAACTGTCAGCTCAGAGAAGTGCTCGCAGCAGTGCCCTGAGTGCACATGGCATATGTGCCCTGTCTCCTTCTCTGCAAAATAATTGTGGGATGCAGCATCCTTTTTGCTGTCTCCCATCGACCGGAATCCTCATGTTGCCCACTCCTGCCAAGGCAGCACCTCGTTTTGATGCATAAGCAGGTGAAAGCTGTAAGGGGGAGAAGCAAATACCCGGGTCTGCTTTTCTTAGCACCTTGTTTGCTTAATATGGTGTGAGAGCAGGGTCAAAAATGTTTTTGAAAAGTGCACGTTCTCAAAGTGTTCCCAGAAGTACCTTAACTGCAGCTGTCAGCTAAGTGATGTAAAGAGAACCTCCCATTTCTACACATTTTTAACCATTTCCCCTGTCTTTCCCATTAAAAGAAAAAAATAAATGGCAGAGAGCTAACAGGCAGAGGGAGAAGTTCGTGATGGGAGCAGCAGGGTTGAAGTCACATCTGAGACTTGTAGCCACTGGGGAACAGCCCAGGAGAAGAGAGCCAGCCGGAGAGGGAGGCAGGGTGTTCCACCGGGGAGAAGCTGTGCAGGAGTTCCTTGACTTTCCCTGACACTCACTGGGGTGCCGGCGGTGGTCCCGGGGGTGCCAGCACTCCGCAGACCAGCCCGATGTGTATCCAGACCAAGCCTTCTGGTGGCCTTTGCCTAACACCATGGCAGTCCATGCTGGGTGTCAGCAAAAAAAAAATATATGTAGGTGTCACACATCCAATGCCTCATGCAAAGCACTTGGAAAGGAGGGAAAAAAACCCAAACATAAAGAGCATTTGCAGCTCTCCTTAATTTACACATTTTCTGTAGGGCTGTGGCGAACAGCAGCAGCAGAGCGAGGAAGGGGAGGCTGCGGGGGGCTGCAGTCCTGCAGAGATTGGTAGCAGCCCGCTGCTGGGCACGCAAGTCCCTTCTCCCAAGGCAGCTGTGGTCAGGACCTGGCAGTGGGGAATCCCCACGCATTTCAAGAGAAGACCACGCTTAAAAGCTTGAGTGGAGACCCAGGCTTTGTTCCGTGGGGATTTCTGCCTGGGAGCAGAGAGGGGCGGCTTGCGTTCCCTCTGCGCCGGTGTGTCGGGGCAGCAGAGAGGGGGATGGCGTTGGCAGCCATGCTGAAGCAACGACGTTGTGGCTGAAACCACACCTCAGTCACGCTCCCCGTCCCTTGGTCCGCAGGTGGGAGATGCAGTGGGGGGGTGCAGTTGTGCATAGACTGCACTTCCCACGGCAACTGTGGAGTTGTGACGTGTCAGCATCCCCCATGATGTCATAACGTACCTGCTGGAAAGCTGCATGAGCACCTGTGGCTCCACTCACACACTCACCTCCAGACAAAACTCTCGAGGCAATTTTTTCCCCCCACCACGAGCGCAGACTGCCACGGCCGCGCTCGTGCCCTGATGTGCTTTGCAGCATGACGATGTCGCTGCACGACCGTATTTTGGAAGACGCCGAGCGGCATTTGAGGCAGGTGGAGAGAGAGATGCAGAGGCAGATGAGGCACCTGGACCTGCACCTCCAGCAGCTCTGCACGGAGCTGCCCGTGTCCTGCCCGCGCAGCCCGGCCCCCCGGCCCTGCTGCCTGTGCCAACCCGACCCCTGCCCCTGGGAGAGACGGGCCCTCACCGCAAGGCTGGACATGGAGAGAGAACTGGGCAGGTAACAGATACTTACCTGCTTTTTACGGGCATCAGCATCCTTTAAGGCAGAATGAAGGGAGATTTGGGTACTGGTATCAGGAACAATGGTGGAAACAGACAGGCAGGGAGAGAAACAGCCATTTTCAGAGAAATTAGTTGAAAGGGGAAAGGGAAGGCACAGCTTGTTCAGCCAGGCAGCCTGATAGGGGCCACGCAGGCAGCGCCTGCGCTGGAAGGGGTTTGGACTATGATGTTATGACACTAATCATCTCACAAACTGCATCTAAAGTAAAGTATGTGACTAGATCCAAAGCTGTTCAGCAGTGGAACAAAGTCCACTTCAACATAAATTCAGTTTGAGTCTGTTAAACATGTAATTATCTTTATCAGTAGCCAAAACGTGTTTGAATGCAGTGGGGTGCAGCACTGATGCACCACAGACCTGCGTCCATATTTTCCCACCTCACTATAACACAAGCAATTAAAAATGCGACATCTTTGCTACCTGTAGAGCAGCAAGCATCATCCTACAGTCTGCCATGTGGGTTACCTACTGGGTACAATAAAGTTAAAGGAAAAAGGGAAAAAGCATGACCCTGGTTTAATTTTACACTGACTTCAGGAAAACCAAAAGTTGCTGTGAGATTGCTTTAGACTTACCCAGTAGCTGCAGCTCACACAGGGCTGTCGAGCAGCAGATTTCAGATCCCAGGTATTACAGGACTGGTGTCTTATGTACAGATTTTCATCATTTTTCATTGGGTACCGGAGCTGGGCAGGTGTAGCATCCCCTTGCAGGATCACTACACACCAAAAATCCAGTGAAGGAATGGAAATTCAGTCTGAATGGAAGCTGGCGGAGGAGCCTCAGGATGGGCTGTGGGATGCCAGGGCACAGTGTTCCTCGGCACCAGGCTCCCCAGCCCTGCCACACTTGGGACAACTTGCTGGTTTGAGCGCAAGTCCATACCACTGCCATCTGAAACCACACCACAGCAGGATTTCTGCCTGTCGCACCAGGGAGTTCAGCCACCCCCTTCCCACAAAAAGTGCTGGGAAGGACCAACTCTTCCCAACACATTTATTCTCCTCCAACCAGCAATATAAAAAGACCAAACAGGCAGGTGGAAGACCCAGCTCTCACAGAGCACAAAAACCACAATCCAAAACCACCACACCAGGTTGAACCATTGCAGGCTTTAAGTAGGATGGCTGAAATGGGTGTACCTTGCTAACGAACCACTCGTTAGGGACTTCTCACCTTAGCGGTCATGCCAGTTCCCTCATTGCTTGCCCTATTTCCTCTTCCATCACACCCATTATCTTTTTAATTTGGTGCCTTGTGTCCAATTTAGCTATTATAACTGAGGTGACCCTTCCATTGTCTGCTTTACAAATGGTTTTGAATAAGAGCCAGCCTTCTGGTTGAGCAGAGTCGCTGTTTGACAGTATTAGAAATCACTTTAATGGCTCAGTGAGCCTCCAGCCCAGCTCTGCAGGAGCATTTTGGGGTTTTTCTTTTGCCAGATGTGTCTCCTGGAGACTGACTGCTTTACAAAAAAAAAACCTCCTAAGTGGAAAATGGGATCTCTTGTAACTATCCATTTAAAATGTAGGACAAGGCACAAGACGGACACACACGGCTTCATGGGTGTGCATACCTGTGAAAGAGGAGCACTGGCTTCTCTGTATTTAGGTGAAAGAACTTTTCAGCTCCACAATTGCCTTGTCCCAAGAGGGGACACTGGAATACTCCTGACTGCTGTGGCATGCAGGTAGGAGCTCCTTCTGAGGGTGCAGACACTACCCCACGTGCTGTGCATCAGCATGAAGATGGATCCAATAGTTTCCTATTAACTTCTCTTGTCCTTAAGGTGGTCCACCCATTCCTCTGTGAGCTGCACTGAAAGGCTGTCCTCTTGTTTTTATTCCAGCATGCAAAGAAGACTTAACAGGATGTGGAACTCTTCCCACGATCACAAGCTTTTGGGTTTGGTGGATGTGGAGGGTTTTGTCCCCAAGGAAGTCACTGTAACGGTGAAAGACGGGAAGGTAAAGGTGTTAGCGGAGCACGAGGAGGAGCACACCACCACACGAGGGAAGGTATATAACTACAAAAACATCACGAAGGAAATCAGCCTGCCGCCGGGGATACGCGAGGACGAGGTGACGTACTCGCTGGGATCCAACAACGTCGTGAAGATTGAAACGGCACACAAATGCTACCCCTGTCTCCTGAGCCGCTGAACCACAGTAGGGAGCAGCACCCGGGCACAGTCGTTCCTCTGCCACGTGCATCCTCCCCATCGGCTCTAGGTCTGTCCTGCTAACCGTGCACCAGCAGCTCCTCGGGCCTCTTCTGAAATAAAAGACAGCATTCCGAGCAGATGTGTGTGGGCCTCCTTTTGAAGGGGTTTGGTGGGCAAAAGGGGGGGGATGCCAACAAGAAAATGCCAAGATGGGTTTGGGCATACTTGCCTGCAGTCACTTGCTGGGTTCTGAAGGCACAGCTTGAGGTAGCGTGGCTCGGGGTGGGTATTGCTCTTGCATACAATCTCATGGATTTTAAAGGCTGAGAAGCACCATTTATCATCAGTCACATTTCTATAAGGACCTTTCTCTCGGTCCCACCGCTTCCATTTGAGCTGTGGGATATTTCTAGGAAGAAAACCTTGATAATGAGCAGGCTGAGGGAGCAGCCTCCCGAAAAAAACTGAGCTGTGCCATTTGTCCCCTTGGTTCGGTTCTTGCAGAGGGTGCCCGGCTGGGAAGAGCCGTGGTTTGAAGACAGAGGTTTTCCTTAGAAGATATTGGGACTGTGGCAGAACACTTACCAGCAGAGGAGGGGATGACTAAAGCATTTCCTGATGCAGGAATCAATAGCTCCAAATTAATAACAAAACCTTTCTCATGTTGCAAGAGGGGGAGAATTGCCAATATAATTTCTTCAAGGTAATATTAATTAAAAATTTAAGGTCCAAAGTGAGACCTCACATAGCCACAGCCCTTGCTCTCCCTGAGCACAGGGACCAGCAGGATCAATGGGACAGGGGTGGCACCAAGGGACAGCCTTGCAGGGGGATTGCATTGCTGCCCTGGCCTCAGCACGTGGGCACACACTCCTGTGGAACGCAGGGTTAGTTTTCACTGCCAAAAGGTGCATGACAAGAAAATATACCTGATACCTGCATTTGCAAGGCACCTGGGCAAGCCATCTCTCCAGCGAGCACCACCTGCTTCAGGCTCCATGAGCCCTCAGGGCCGGGGGGAGGAAGGTTGTCACGTCTTTTTGTGGCACACTCCTCCGCAGCAGATTTTCCTGGTGGGGAACCTAATTTTGAGGTCATGTTGGCACAGAAACAAACCTCTGACATTAACTAACCTGTCAGGGGAGAAGGTGGGCAGCCTATGGACCAGCGCCGTGCAGGTGCGCTGCCCACTTGAAACCCCTCAGAAGTGGTGAGTTGTCCCCTGCCATTAGCCTGGCTGAGAAATGCAGTTTTTGGCTGTCCCACAGGGGGACCCCAGTCCTCACAGGACCTCCACGCGGCTGAGGCAACACACCTCCAGCAGCTGAGGGGTCCCTGGTGCCGTGGGCTCCCACCCACTGCTGCAAGGGGGGTATTTCCCTGGAAACATGCCTAAAGAAGACAAAGCCAGTCCTGTATTTTCAGCCTGCAAACAGCCAGCCCCACTTTCACAATTTACATCCATTGTATGAAGGTGGTGAAATCAGAGGGGATGGGTGATACAGCAGTGAGTCAACGACTGTGAGCACTGTGGTGGGGGGAGACCCCCAGCTCTGCCACCCCCTGGTTGTCTCCTCCAGGCTGGAGCAAATCCATCACTGTCCATGTCAAATGCTCAGAGCAGCCCTCTGCATCGGTTTCACACTGTTTGGACCGGACTGGTGAAGTCATAAGCCCCTCCGCCTCCTGTCGGGTGAGCACAGCCCCTTAGGGCAGCTCACTGCAGGCATCTCCCCAAAATCACCAGCACCATGGAACAGCTCCTTCAGTCAAAAGTCCCAGCAAGTGGCTGAGGATCAGTTTGGTTTGACCCTAACCAGCTCAGTAATTTAACTTCTGTGAAACAAATCAGCTGTTTCTGGCATGTTTTCAGCACCCAGCTAACACTTAAGAACCAGCTGATAACAAGTTTTAAGCTTTATGGGCTTGGTGTGTAGCTGGGTCAGTGCAGAGCCATAGAGCGCCCTTCAAGCTCATCAGGTCCCCCCCCCCCTGCCATGGGCAGGGACACCTCCCACTAGACCAGGTTGCCCAAAGCCTCATCCAACCTGACTTTGAACGCTTCCAGGGATGGGGCATCCACAACTTCTCTGGGCAACCTGTGCCAGTGTCTCACCACCCTCATTGTAAAAAGTTTCTTCCTTATGCCCAATCTGAATCTACCCTCTTGCATTTTAAACCCTTTGTCCTGTCACTACAGGCCTTAGTAAAAAGTCTCTCTCCGTCTTTCTTATAAGCCCCCTTTATAAATTGAAAGGCCGTCTATGCACAGGTAGTCCGATTCCGCTGATGTTGGTTGAGGTGAAATAAGACATATCTCAACTCAGAGACTGCAAGGGAGCCTCCTGTGAAAGCAGGCAGCAGGGATGGGGATCGGGGATGCTACAGAACCCTGGAGAAGACCATCTTCTTATGAAGCAACCCACCGAGTAATAAAACTGAAACCCCTTTGGGATACAGTCTTCTCACGTTGTAGCTATTTCTGCAGAAGCTGTCTAAGCGTGCAGAGGAGAAGCATATTTCAACACCTCCCATCTACCCGTGACTTCAGACTTGCAGAATATATCGAGTCCTACAGCGATCATAGGGCTGGCTATGGCTGCTCTTATCCTTATTGCTCATCCTTCAACACATACTCTTCACACTTTGTGCCTAAATTAGGCTCTGAACACCAAAATACACTCCTGAGCAGCAAGACTTTATTGAAAGATATGACTTAATTCCCAGGTTTCAAGACCAGAAGGCACTGTCAGATCATTTGGCCTAATCTCCTATTATACTATCTTATACCTCAAATAAACTGCCTGAAGTCTAACTTCCAGGAAGGTATCCAGTCTTTATTTGAAGACTTCAGGAGAGAAACTCCAGCACCTCTCTTTGTATTTTGCTCCAGTTCGTAATTTCCTTGTAATTAAATGTCATGCCTTGTTACTAATACAAGATTGTCTGGCATCATCAGGGTTTTTTTTCTCTGCCAGATGACAAAAGCCCTCAGAAGCTGACTTTGGAGTAACTCAGTAGCAGCTGTGAACTTCTCCTACATTGTGAGCAAGTCACTTTTCAATCTTGAAATTCTGAAGTTTCTCACTGTAAGACCCGGTACCCACCTCTTTAACATTTTTAGCTCATTCTTACCCCCTTTTCAAGTTTTCGGAGCCTTCAGCAAAGGTGGCCACCAGGACCGGCTGAACTGATTCCCTCTCCACCCCACCAATGCAGTGTACGGAGGCAGAAACACTCTTCCCAAAGGGAAAGGCCCCTGTACCTTACAAATGCAGCATCGCACGATGTTCTCCAGCTGGATGGCCATTTCACTCTCAGCCCGACAGCTCGCTGAAGGGTCCCCCTTTGCAGGCTGCAGCCTGGGGGGTGGCCTGTGCTGCTCCTCCTCATGCTGCAGATGTGGAGAAGGTTGGAGTGGCAGCCCAGGGCACATGGAGAAACATTCAGGGGGAAGCACGTTTCAGTTATTAAAGGAAGATTTAGGAAAAAACTGCTTGGTTTATATTTTTTCTTGCAGAAATGAAAGGCAAATAGCCATTTTTTCCTACTGATTAGGACTCTTGGTGTTTAAATTCAAAGAGGACTTGCAGGCTGGGAGGCACGTCTTAGGGGGCATTCTGAAGAAAATTCCTAATTCATTTTATATCCCTTGAAGTGCTAATCTGGGCTGCTAGGAGCATCCTTAGGACCTTTTCCGTAATAGCAGCAAATCACTCAAATAGTCACTTAGTTTTGTGAATACCTACATGCTGTAAATACCCAAAGCGTTCTCAAAATCTGTACCCTCCAAATACCACTTAGATGAGAGTTTGCTAAGTGAAAATACCTCTGGAAAACTACCATTAGCACAGCAAGACATGCTTACAACAGCATCTCCCTAAAAGAAACTCCTTAGCCACTAGGTGGCGGATTTTTTTTTTATTATTTTTTATTTTAATTTACCCCCGTGTAACCCTTTTTTTTTAGAAGCAAGCCCGATGAAGGCGGTGTTACAAAGAAGTAAGGCTGCAGCTGGCACTTTGTTTGCAGTGTTAATAGCAAATGAAGAGAGGGCAAGAGTTAGAGCTATGGTTTGTGATCCTGGGGGAGCAGGAGCCCTCGCAACAGACCACCATCACATTAGGTTTCTGCGCTGGACTATATTGACCTTCGGTCCTGTAGCTCTTTCCCCCATAGAAGAAACAAGTTTAATTTGCTTCAGCCGCTCAGGTCTACCACAGCTATTAGCCTCGATAGGGATTTCCAGGAGTTAATGAATTCTCCAGCATATTGCTGCACCAAATTATTTTGGGGGCCAATTTTGAGCATCCTCATATAGCAAATACCCTCTCTGAATTCCCTGGCATGAGGAACATGGCTGAGAGGGCGACTTGGCTCTGTAGTTATAGACGTTGGTGCATTCTTGAACTCTAGCCTTATCAGGGCATTTATAAATAGCTGGAGCCCTAGGAATTTGTCATGGGAGGTCATCTAAGGATGCTGGCTCCAGGCATCTCTTCGGTCATGGGTTTCTAGGGGTTTTCCTACAGCCAGGCACTGCTCTGCTAGCTTAGATCATGCAGAAATATTATTTCTCTCCAAGCTATTGCAATCCCGGGGGGAGCGGAACCTCGGTGGGAAGGTGCAAGGGGATGCCAGCTTTCCTATCCCGGCACGCGGCTGCGCTGTGGCTTCCGAGAGCACCGGGGCTGCCCCAGCTCCCGCTCTCCCCACGTGCAGTGCCAGCGCCAGCGCCAGCACGGGAGGGCTGTTCCTGCAAAGGAGCAAGTTGTTGCCTGTGGCGGGGGCCAGCCCCGCTCTTCAAGCCCCCGGTCCTCATCCTCCCGGCGGCAGTGCGGCCAGGCTGTTGGCATCATGCCGGCCGTGTGGGGCTGCCCTCCGCTGCACCTCCACGTGAGGTGAGAAACTTCATCCATCCATTTTATTTGTGCCTAAAGTTAAATTTGATCGTTGTCCCTGCTAAGCCCTTTGTGACCTCAGTCTCTTAGATAAACT